AGGTGGAATGTAGGCATCTGAGTAGTGATTGAGCTCATCTCCCAGGGCCGAAAGGTGAAATGGCCATTTACCCTGAAGGTATGCAAGTTCATAGACTATGGGAAAAATGAGCATAGACCCTCTGGCATCTGGGTTCCCCGTACTGGGATAGGTTAGGCCTTCTTTAGACAATGAATTATTATAGTTCTCCACAGAACCCATGGGGGTATATTTATACAGCAATGTTTCTTGGCCTGACTGCTGTATAACCTTGAAAATTATCTATGCTTCTTCATTGGTGTTACACATTCAGCTTAGGATCAGCATCTTATCTTTTAGATTTATTTATTTAACTTTATTTATTGAATAAGATAACTTAAAATGATTTTGTTATTTATTGATTTTTGTTACATTATTTTTAAAATTTGACCAGAGGGAGACAGAATGAGAGAAAGGGAGAAAGCAAGCCACCAGGCCGGGGACTGGCTGTAATCACACTCCTCTGGGAGTCCAGCGCCTTAACCACCATGCCACCTGTCGGCCCCTCAGTCTTTTTCTTCGACTCTGCAAGAATGCTTTAAAGTTCCCCGACAGGCCAAAAACCTAGGTACGACTCCAGTGACTAGGGCTTTACCTAGGTTCTACCAGGGGCTCCCCCTGCCAGGGTGTTTTCAACGGGTCCTCAGCTAATGCTTGCATCCAGGGCTTGGCTACACACCCTCCCACCTCCCACACCCCTTCTTTGCTCTCCTAGTCCCTTGGCTGCCCTTGGTCTCTCCCCTCACATTCTTGTCTGACTGGTTCCTAGAAGCCTGGTAGCGACTCTTCTGTGACATAAAGCCGGCTACTACAAATTAAAAGCCCGAAGTCCAAACACGCCTCTCTCCGTGCAGATCTAAGTGGATCTAATTGATAAACAAAGAGCACACTTTGACTTCCTTTTCCTCTCTAAACACAAGTCGCGCGTGGGCTTTTAAAGGAGAGTGAAGACGAGGTTGGCAGAAGAGACAATGGGCTCGAAGGTTAGGAAGGGACTACGGATGCAGCCACAGAACAGGTCGGTGGTGGAGCCCCCACTCCCCCTGCCCGGCTGCGGAGGCGAAGGGGCGCAGTGGCCTTGGCCGTGTGCACCGCCGGGATCGCAGCTCCCCAGACCGTGCCTGGCACGTAGTAGGTGCGCTGTCAAGACTTGTTGCGTGCCGAAGGAGCGCGAGGATGCCAGGCTGGCAAGTGCTACCACAACACAATGACAAAGGCTGCCCCGCCGAGCGTGCGGGGTTCCCCCACAGCCCCATTGTTCTCCGTCCTCCAAGCCCCGCCGTGCCCTGGCGTCCGACGTACTGAAACCCGGGGGGCCGACGCCAAGAGCCCGCGATCCCTGCAATGACAGGCTGGAATGTTATTCAAAGCGGGCGCCATCGGACTGCGGGGCCCCGAAGGTCGGCTCGGGCCCCGGGTCCGGCGCAGCGTCCTTCCCGCCTTCTCGGAGCTGCTGGGCACCAGGCGGCCCGCGCCGCTCCGGGGACCTCGGCCGGGCTGGTCTGTCCTGCCCTCCCTTCGCTCGCGGCCCGGTGCCCGCGCCCCTGGGGTCGGTGCCTCGCTGCCGGTGGGTCCCTTTGATCCTTTCTTTCTACCCCTTATTCCCAAGGGCCAGAAAATACCTTTTCTCCCCTTCCACGTCACTTCCCCCCGGCCCCCGCTCCCTCTCCCGGAGAGGTGAGTCCCCGCTAGAGGCCAGCACTGCCCCAGTTCGTCCCTCCCCGCCGCGGGCAGCGCTCGCAGAGCACGGAGGGGAAAAGGAGGAGAAAGAGCGGGCGCAAGCCCCGGGCCGGGAGCGCGGAGGCCCGGGAGGGG